GGGTTTTTTATGATTATGATTCATAAATATATATGTACATACTATTTATGTGTATGGGTGCAAGAATAATTTTGCGCTGATAAGGGTATTACCAAAAATTTCAATTGTTTACTCATAAGATGAGTGTTTCTTTTTATTTAAATATAAATGAGTACAAATGTATAAACAAATTTTTTATTTAGTATCTTTTCTATCTCATTTTGGGGTAAAATTGTAGTTTTTTTTATGAACCCGATTAGTAAACAAATTTGTTGAGTAATTGAAACATTAATTATTCTATTATTTGCTTTGATACCAGAACAGCGACCCGCGTTTAATACTTTAAGACGTCATTTGATCTAAAACCTTAATAACGTTTGGTATCGAACAGCCCAGAACGTTTTTCTGTGGATTGGGCTGAACACACATAGATTACAGTCGTCGGGCATGCGTTCATCCGACCATATTCCTCATTAAAATTGATGCAGTACATACCTTACCAGGTCTTTGTCCCCGAACTTGAGTAGCGCATCGGTCAGGCGACTTGCTATTCATCCCTCGTCGGGCGATGAGACATCGACGCCGACGTCATCGACTGGCAGCTCAGAGGCATGCAGTTATCTTGGCTGCAACAAGATAGTAGTCTGAGTCGAAGATCGGTCCTCGGCGCGTACGTAAATCCAAAACACTGCAAGCTTGGTTTCCATCTATCACAACATAGCAGATTTGGCTCATCGTTTTTCGATCAGAAGGCGACTATGTAGCTTGGCGCTTATGCGGGAATCTTGTGCTGCATATTTTGATAACTTCAATTCCTTATCAGAAATTTCCTCGAGGAGGCAAAATTTTCAGATTTTTAGATAAAAGCTGCATTCTTTGCCCACCCTGGTCTTAAAATTACTAAGCACTAATTTAATATTCGGTCGGAGTTAACGCTCAAAAACGCCATCCAAGCACTCATGAAAGAGATTTTTCGACACCTGAGGGTCTGCTCTGTATTGCGATTCGCAAGGCAAATCATGCGGATTCGAATACTTGGCACTATGAATTTGCATCCCTGTCCCTGTCGCCTTTCGAATCGCATTGAGTTTCGAATCGTAATACAGAGCAGACCCCTTGGTCCCTTTCCCTCTTCCAACCCATCTCGCTTTCAGCGTGGTGAACGACCAAAACCAAACACCAAATTTGTACACATTTGCATATTGCTATTATGAGCTTTGAGCACTGCGACCTCTAGGGTGGTCTATTGCGCGTTACTCATTTGCATAATAACTACATCGCCCCATCCACCCCGGTTCTTGAATAGATGACAGCTTTCGTCTTTTCGAGGGCATCAACCAGCCGGGTAGAGGGCCACCTAAATGGTCCGGACATTCCAGGTGCATAAGCTCAAATCATGGCCCTGTAATCATTCGCCGTGGTCATCTCAAAAGAAGGGTGGAAGTTTGTTTTAGGTAGCGGGCTCCAAACTCAGTGAATAACCAAAGCATGGACTAATGTTGCTTACTTTAAGACAGACACCTGCTTGCAGCTGTATATATTAAATCATAACTGTATATTGTATTTTCAGACATATGACCCAGCTAATTCGGGTATCAAAACAAGATCCTACCATCGAGATTTGCCAAATGCTGAACAACAAAATCAGCCATCTCCGCCGTACACAAACACACATCCTCACGACTCCAGGTTTAGCCCCAGTTATGATAATACAAATTACGGTGCCCCCTCATTGAGGTTATCACCACCCGATTCTCACCAACACACTGATGGGCCGCACAGGCAGCAACAACAGCAACAGCAGCAGCCTTCATATCAACACCAGCACCAGCAACATTCAAACCCACAACAAGCCGAGTCTCATCAGCAACGCGAGCAGCCGATATTTAATCGCCCAGCGCACGTGCGTCATTCGCCGCCCTCAGAGCGACAAGTGGAGGGTACTTGGAGTGGGACAGAGAACTCAATAGGCGACTACAATAGTGGTTGTCCGCCACAACACACTGGGCCAGTACCATATCCGTATGATTGTCGTCGTTTTGTAAACTGTTGGCATGGTCGCGGCCACATACAGAGTTGTGGTCCAGGTACAGTTTTTAATCGTGAAACACTCGAATGTGATCGCCCTGATAAGGTGGTTTGTGGCACACCGGGCGTGAATGGAGTTAGCAGTGAGCTGAACGTGAGGCAAACAACGCTACAGACGGCGTCGAATCCTAATAAATATCGTGCAGGTCGACTCCTAGATGTCAGCACAGGTAATGTGGATTCGCTTTGTCCTGCGGGCGCGAATGGCTTGGCGCCGCATCCAACGGATTGTACGAAGTTTTTGAATTGTGCTAATGGTAATACGCATGTACAAAACTGTGGACCCGGCACTGCATACAGCATTTCAATGAAGACGTGTGATTTCAAGGAGAAAGTGGATTGCAGTGGTCGGGAGAATGGTGGAAATGGGGCATTGAATAGTCGAGATGGACGTCAGTATGGTAAGTGTTTATGCTTAAATTATTTTTCTTTGTATATGCATGGGCACAAAAGTACATATAACCTTTACTCGTAATCATCCTGATTCTAATTCAATGTGATAATAAGAATATCCATTTCAACTAGAATAAAGGCTTCAACATCTCAAAATTTGTATCAAAAATACTTTCCGGTTTTCAGATTTGTTCGGGGTAAAAAAAAATAAAGTGTATCGAACATACTGACTGAATCTAATAGAATAATATAGGAACGAACCTCGCCAATTCTTTCAAAATTTCCACTACATGATGGCAGCTACGACAGTAATCGTTTAACTGCTACCCATTCTAATAGCGTGGATTCCCATCAGGCAGTACCCAGTGAGAACGCTAATTACATGTCGGAACAGTGGTCGCTCTAAGCCGAGGAGAGTGCGAGGTCTATGCTTATCCACGTAGTCTCCGCAGACCATATTGCATTTGCCTTTTCGACAAAGTTCCTCTCCAGTCAGAATTTGCAGGAAGATAGCGGAATCCACGCATTATGAGCGGTACCGCTTTCAGACAGTAAGGTTCGTTTCTTACTAGATCATCCTCAACACAGTTGTTCGTTATGTCTTTATAGCCGGACAGCTATACAAGAATCGATTAACCATCTTGCAACTTCGTTGGTTACTATTAGTTCAGCCTGAAAGAGGCTGCATAGATCTGGGCAGACGGTAATTAAGATTAAGTGAGAGTTCAAAAAATTAATTAAAAAAAAAAAATTTAAATTAACTACAGGTATATAACTGTAATTTATTTAAATTTACGGGTACCGTTAATTTCATGATCCCATGATCGGTGCTCAACCAAATTAGTATGGGACCACCCTTGAAGTACCACCTTGTCGTTATTATCGAAAATGGTTCACGTGGACCGAAGTTATCTACCAACATATATACATAAAAAAAATAATCCGATAAATTGATACACTTCCTTCTTTTTTGAAGTCGGTTAAAAATTTACCACTGCATTCATTTTTCAACCTATGAAGACATTTAATGTCCAAAAGTTTTGTTATTTATTATAAATATATGCTTTATACCGAAAATACCCAAATTTAGAAAAAAAGCCAAACTTTCAGAAGAAAAATTTTATTGAACAAATCATATTTTTAACAGTACCTATAGTAAGCTGTTGAATCTAGAATTGACTTTGTTCTCAAAAAAACTTGAAACATGATAAAAAAAACTACAATTGAAAATAACATGGAATATATTACTAACAAAAACAAAGCAATAGCAAGTGTTTTGAATGCATGGAATCATAATCAAATTTTTTCAATGCTGCCGAAAATTTAATAAAAAACTTCGTTTGGCTTATGCTTCGTATTAACAACATGTGTACACACAAAATCTATTACACGGAATCGCATGAATAATTTTACCTTAGGCTTATATGTACATACACTGCCGGAAAAAAGTATTGGCACAGCGATTTTTCACAATATATGCACCAATATCTATTCTAATATTTTTCCGCCAATTTTTTATAAAAATGTAAAAATTTAATTTCTCAACTTTGTGCAAAGCTCGCTAAAATGTTCATGCAAATTTTCAACTTTATAATTATTTATAAAACATTAGCGAAAAAATATTTGAATAAAAATTGTTGCATATATTGTGAATATCGCTGTGCCAATACTTTTCTCCGGCAGTGTATAACGAAATCCAGAAATATTTATAAAATACAAATAAATTGTATTTTAAGAAAATAACAATTATGACAATACCAGAGGCGAGGAGAACGGCTCGACCGCTAACAAAGAAGGCGATATTTTCTGCCCACCAGGCGTAATTGGCCTCTTTCCACATCCATTCGACTATACGAGTTTCCTGAATTGTAAACTCGGTAATACGGCCATACAAAACTGTATGCCTGGGTCAGTGTACAGCATATCGAGGAATTACTGTGATCTTAAAGAAAAAACGCACTACACCGATCACGTCGATTACGTTATTTCTGAAAGGCAACAATTGCGTAAGTGCTGAAAAGTCCCAACTTTTCAGTGTTTTCAAACAAAATTTTCATCACTAATCTATCTACCGCACAGCTTCGACGATGGTCAGTTGTCCACCGAGCACGGATGGCAATCATTTATATCCATATGACTCTACAAAGTTTATTACTTGCCGGCAAGGACGCATGTCGATTGACAAATGCGGGTCGCATAAGGTTTTCAGTATATCAGCGCAGACATGTCGTTCGGAAAGTGAAGTGAATATTGACGATCGTGTGCGCAATGCAGTGACAGCCAATACGAATGCCGAAATCAGAGACTGTAAGTGTTTGTTGTTTTATTTAATTATTTATATGAAATGTTCAAGACGTTTACATATAATTTCCATGTGAAATCAATTTATAGCGCGGAATTTAGCACTCAACTACGTAGGTCAGCCGCTCGATTGCCCTCAAGGTCAATCTGGTTTATATCCACATCCTTTTGATTGTAGAAAATTTATGCTATGCCGCAATGGAAAGTTGAGCGTAGAAAGTTGCAAAACGGGCAATGTTTTCAGTTTGTCTGCCAAACATTGTGATCCCAAGGAACTTGTTAACGTCAATGAACAAGTTCAATTTCAGCTTGACGTAGGCCAAGATAGGGTCTCTGAATCGGATTACAATTACAGTGAGTTAGAAAATAGAGAAAAAATATATATGTATTTGTAAATGTATTTTTGCTTGTATGATTTCTGCAAGTCAAGAAGCTAGTAACGTATTACGTATAGTGCTGTTTTATTAGACTTAACTTGTCAAGATATTTTAAAGGGTAAAATTATGGGCTCTTTTTTCAAGTATTTTCTAAAATTTATCTGCCCTTCAAACACATTTCAAGTAAATAAATATGATCCAATGATGCTTCCAGCTCGAAATTCGCACCCAAATGTGACACCTTGCAGTTATGTACGTTTTTTTTTACGTTTTTTTTTTTTTTTTACATATGTGTGTATGTACATATGTATGGGTTATCTTAACCTCAAATGCTACAATTTTAACAACCAACAAAACCAAAATTTTTCGTAATCCGTAAATTTATAGGAGACGTGCCAATTGCACTTAGGCCACAGAGCTTGGGACTTTTTGATCGTTTAACCTATAATCCAGTATTCTACTAGAATTCCTATTATAGCGGTATGATCGTGACGACACCCATAGCCGAGCTTAGCCAAGTTAAATTATTTACAAGATATAACAGAAATTTGTCCCAAAAAATGTTCATGCAACCCATTTTCGTTGTTTAGTTTTTTAATCTCCTAAAAATGTGTACGTAATACTCTGCATATATTTAAATTAGTCTTACTGTCGTTGGTTAGTAGACACAGTCGATTTTACGTATGAAGAGCATACGATGACTTAATTTCTCAAATCAGGTAACGAGTCCTTTCCTCGCACTCTAATTCATACACTTTCTAGTTTCCCTGAATGTCATTGAAATGTTCTTCCGGGCGCAATTTTCAGATCCACCATCCACCGTAGGATAAACAACGGCACGACACAGATTGGTGTTCCGTCCCCTCTGCTTTGGATTGCGGTCGTAAATGAACTGCTAGAGGAGCAGGGACTGGATTCCCTAACGGTGAGTTGTCGTGAAAATTGTGTACCATCATCATTTTGCGATTCAGCAAGTGTGAGAATGAGTTATAACTGTCAAAACTGTGCACATTTTTCTTACGAAAAAACTCACAGCATTTTATTCGGTGATTTTTTGGTTGTAAGTTTAGCACTCGGTGTACACTGCATTTTCTCACAGTTACAGAATTCAGCCCCTGGTGAGTAGAGTCTATCAAGTGATTGCCAACAGCGATGACCCTCTATGATTTGAGGTCTGCGAACTGTGAACTCTGGTTCTGTTCACTAGAGAGCATAAGATACCACACGCCACTCTTCGCTCGATCAGAGGCGCTTACCTGGTCAGAAATCTGGTGCGGGTGCTGTAGAATGTACGTAGTGGAATCTGTAAGGCAGTTAGAACCACTCTCACCCTGGAACTGAATGTTATGCATTATATAGCGTACGGAGTACTGCTATACTTTGTGTATAGGAGGAATGTGATTTCGTATTGTATACAGGTCCACTGTGTACTTGCGCTTTCACGAAATAAACTTTGAGCCCTGATCTTTCTTTATCAGTGAGGTGACCAGATGATAAGCATCGATTTTTGTACCATGCTTTAGAGGGGTTCATGATCCTACTGCAGGTCCGAATTAAGATCAATTTGTGATGAGTTTATAACTGTATAACATAGAAGGCTCAGTATTTGTGTTGCTGACCGTACCGGGCTACCTTGGTTCTAATATTGCCTTTGTAAAATTTAGCCTTATTCCTAGAGTCGGTGTTGCAGAGAGTATTGTTTCTGGCATTTGCTTAATTCCTGAGATGCATTGGTGGTGGAGGTGCATGCCTTACTGCGGGTATATTCTAGACTCCCCACTCTGCAATGGTGTATTCGAGTATTTTTTGCGAGCATAGATTCGACGAATATCTTACGAGTACAATCCCTTGACTTGCATTATTTCACCAATCATACAAGCAAAGATGCATCTGTAGCTTTGAAAGTCTTCAGATAATAATTAAAATTATTCCAATTTATTTATAATACCCAATTCCTTGCAATGCAGTCAATTCAAATCGAGAAGCAGTTAAATTGATTTGTCCCCAAAATATGGATGGGCTTTTCTTACATCCGTTCGATTGTACCAAATATCTTAGCTGCCATAATGGGCAAAGTCAAGTAGGAAGTTGTCCGCCGGGTAAAGTATTCAGCATATCGCGCAGGCAATGTATAAATCGCAATCAAGTAGATGCATACGATCGTGTGGAATATCTAAGTGAGGTTAAACACGAATTCTCAACAGAATTGAGTCAAGGTAATAATAGTGAGTTGTTCACAATACTACCCGTACCGTACCGTAAAAAAAAACTTAAAACATGGTATTTGAACGCCTTAGATCAATTGCTCGAGACAACATGTACTTCAGATGCTAACAGTGTCTATCCATACCCTTACGATAATACGAAATATATAAAATGTAGCCGTGGGCATGGAACTATTGAAAATTGTGTAAAGGGTATGATATTTAGCACAACCCGAAGATACTGCGACTATGAAACGAAAGTAAATGAATATGATCGTGACTGGCGGTCGGATAATGGATATGACAATCACAAAGCAGGCGCTGACGTTCAGGAAGCTGGAGTAATAAGTGAGAGAGAACGTAAGTTCATTCACTGTTTGCGTTATGACTCACATTACTTATGATCAATAAATTAATAAATATTTAGCAAAAGATGTGAGTGCAGACGCTGATGTGGAATGTCCACCTAAAGCGGTAGGCACATATCCGCATCCGTATGATTGTAGAAAATTCCTTGCATGTTCGCATGGCGTGACTGAAGTTAAGGAGTGTGCTCCTGGCACTGCATGGAGCGCAGAGATGGAGGTTTGTGACTTTGAAAAAAATGTAAATTGTGTACAAGGCACAAAGTTACCTAATACAGCAGTAAATACGATAATTGAGGATAAGGTCGCATGTCCGCCGAATATGCAAGGTCTCTTCTTGCATCCATTTAATGCACAGCATTTTGTGAATTGCAATAATGGTGAGACGATCATACAAACCTGTCAGACGGGCAGCGTTTTTAGTATTTCGCAGAGAATGTGTCTTGCGGCAAGGGAAGTCACACCTGTAGATCGCGTACAGTGCTCGCAAGATTATGCTACAGATATTCGTGAGTACTCAATTAAATAATAACAGTAGAAAATTATAACTACAACCAATTCATTTTATAGCCTCGTATCAAAACTACATCGTTTGTCCAGCGCAAGCAGTTGGCTATTTCGTTTATCCCTTCGATGGCCTGCTATACATAGAATGCCTCGATGGGCGAACGCTTATTCAGAATTGCGCACAAAATACGGTATTTAGCATTTCCAACCAAATTTGCATACCCACTGATGAAGCAGAAAGCACAGACTACGTGTTGTTACGCTCGGATTGGCAGCATATAAATCCTGGTTATGCCACATATGATCACAAAGTGGAATGGAGTGCTTTGGATACGAACTCTGTTGGTGCTCACACACAGAGCTCTGTCGATTCTACACAGTCTACAATTTGCGCAGAAAGTGAATCAGGTCTTTATCCACATCCAACTGATTGTAAGAAATTCCTACGTTGCGCAAACGGCATAAGCTATGAGATGGATTGTGGTCCGGGTACTGCATTTAATGCCGCGCTTGAAGTTTGTGATTTTGAGAATAAAGTTGATTGTTCCAGTCGTTTGGGCATTGGTGATTTGCAAGGTGAAATTTGTGATAGCAAAGAATGATTATTGAATTTCTTATGGTTTTCTTATCAACTTGCGCAGTTCGCAATAGTCCAGCTGTAGCATGTCCTGTGGGCGCTTCTGGCATCTATCCGCATCCTTTGGATTGCAAAAAGTTTCTTCATTGTGATAATGGCATAGCAACTATAAAAGATTGCGGTCCTGGTACGGCTTGGAATGTTAAAATGGAAACATGCGATTTTATGGCCAATGTTGGCTGTGCAGACGGTGGTGTCCGTCAAGAGGAGACGCCTGAAGGTTAAAAACAAATTTTTAATTCTTATTATAATTGTTTGCTTAAAAGGTCTGCTCAAAAAAAAAAAAAAAATGTGGTGGCACGGCATCGCGCGGTACAAAGCAGTATAGAGAGAATTCTGCGGTATAGTTTTTTAAGGCTGCGCACAGTGGAACAAAGAAGAAATTTACTATTCAGCAAGGTCTACTGTCTATAATTCCTAATGGTCTTAAATTTTTTAAATTGATATTTAAATTCTTAAAAGGTTTAAGGAGCTACTGTTCTAAATTCATTTGATTTTCATAGTTAACGGTTTTCATTAAAGTAAAAAAGTTGAACATATACATTTATTATATGTATCTAGAGAATTCCTTAAACGATTAAAACAAGTAGTATATCACATCAAAGGCAATTGAATTTGCTATATTTTCTTAATAATTATTTTTTCTTTAAAATTATACGTTTTCAATATGTTTATAAAGATTAAAAATTTTATTTTATTTTGATAAAATGAAATTTCTGTTTATATTGTAAAAAATACTTTTTACTTTGATGGATTTTTTTTACTAATTTCTTAAAAACAATATATTCACAAAAAATATAAGACATTAAATACTTGACACCTTCGAGTCAAGCAAAAAATTTTACTTCTGCAACTTTGTTAAAAAAAAAACTATAAAAATAAAATACATTTTAAAAAGTAGTTCCTGCACCACTGTGCGGCTTATCGTACACAGTTATTTGCGAGCCACAATATACCACCGCATTACCAAATACCGCATTTCGAACGAACCCCACCGTATCGTACCGCGTATGTTTGAGCAGGCTTTACCGTTTTTTATTTGTGTTACATTTTATTGAAAAACTCTTTGTTTAACATATCGAGCCCTAAACGCAAAAATGACATGATATGTAGGCGATTAATTTTTCAAAATTTAATTTTTCATGCAGAAAGCTCTCGAACATTTAGGACTTGAGAGATTATTTATTAGAGAATATGTATATGAATAAGTTATTTTTAAATTTTTTAAACGAAAATATACGAGTATAGTGAATAAATTGTCACACTGCTTCGAGAAAAAAATATGGTTTTTGCTGTTTTCGGCTTTAAGAGATTTTATCGAGTATTTTCTAATTTTTCTGTAATTATTTCGAGTTATTTCCAGGGACCGTAACGATTCTCTCTCTGATCTCTATTACCAAAACTATAATTTAACCGTTAATATTAGATTTTTATTTTTTCGATCAAGAATAATCGTTATTTTATGATATGCATTTTTTGATCAAAAATAATTTTTATTATCGATTTTTATTTTTCAGATCAAAGTGAATCGTTATTTCTGGATTTTTATCTCTTCGCTCAAGAATAATTGTTATTTTAGGATTTTTAATTTTTTCGATTAATTTTTGATCGTTCTTTTATGATTTAGATATTTTTATCAAAAATTATTTTTATTTTGGATTTTTACTTTTCCGATTAAATTTAATCGTTATTTTTGAATTTTTATTTTTCGATTAAGAATAATCGTTATTTTGTGATTCCTTTTTTTGATCAAAAATAATTTTTATTTTTCCAATCAAATTTAATCGTTATTTTTGGAATTTTATTTTTCCGATCAAATTTAATCGTTATTTTATGATTTTAATTTTTTTCCGTTAAGTTTAGATCGTTCTTTTATGATTTATATTTTGGGATCAAAAATATGTTTTTTTTTTGGATTTTTATTTTTATCTCTCTTTTTCCGATCAAATTGACTCGTTACTTTCGGATTTTAATTTTTTTAATTTTTCGTTCAAAAATAAACGTTATTTTGCATTTTTTTTAAATCAGTTTTAACCGTTGTAATGAAGACTGCATTTTTAGGGCCGTTTTATATATTTTATAATTTAAAAAACTGTGTCGGGGTTCGGGGTCACGAATCTGAAATCTGTTTTTTTCTCCATCACTTCAGGATTTCTTCTAACCTCAAAAAATATGCAAAAGCGGTGGCGTATGAGTAACATTTTGCACAGTAGTACTTATGGTGGTTTCGTTTCTTTCAAAAAATGTTGCCCTTTCATGGTGCAAAATGTGTTTAATGCTCTCACTCAACCCCATTCCCAAAGGAGCTATTTTTTATTGTTTTTACTTTAATTTGTGCCCTAAATTTCTTTACTCGCTTACTTACTTACATGCATACATATCTGACTCTTCGTATAATTTCGTAACTCTTTTGTTTCAGATAATGGCGGTCATGGGTATGATGCGAACACACATTTCCAAGCACCTACACCACAATCCAACAACAGGAACCCCACACGTAATGACTGGAGATCGCAACCTAATAGTGCTCCCTCACATCATAGAGGTACATACGATAGTCAAAGTTACGGAGGCATTCCAACAACGCCATCTTCCCGAACAAACACGCGTGGCGATCGTTGGTTTAATATGGACAGGCAGCGCCCAGTGCCACACGACGACACACGTTTTATACCCGGAGGTAACTACAATCCAGATTATGATCGACAGCAACGGCTACCCGTTTACGGCAAAGACTTGCAACACAACAACGGTCCAGCTAGTTGGGCCGGCACGGATGCTGCACTTGATCGCCAAACGCCCACACAAAGTGTCATCTATGAAGAGGGATCGCTAGAACCAAATCGTAATTATAATACAATCCAAACTTATACAACCCCCTTAGCACCTTTCAACTCAGCTGACTCCTTGCCAGCCGCATCCGTTAATAGGAATGTATACGCAAATGCGACCACAAATATTTACTATGCGCAGCCTGTTGGTTCAGAAGAAAACTCAGATGAAGTCTTTGACTCCAATGCTGATTCGCAACCGTCTGCGCGCACGCCCTTCGATCGCAATGACAACAAGTGGATTCCAATACCGAATCAAGTGCTTCTACCACCAAAACGCACCACTGAGCAACAAAGCGTTTTGCAGGTTTCTGCACCAGCAAACACCTACGCACCAGCAACTCATGTTACACCCCCTTCGAGACGCGCATATAATCCGCCTACAACAGTGTCTCAAAATGCCATTGAAGCCTCTAATCTTTATGGTGGCTTGCAACCACCACCACCACCCACAACTGCCCAAACTGCTTACTCCATCGTTTCGATTCGAAATCAAAATTCACCACCGGCTCGCGTCAATCCCACGCAGTCTTCGCCGCCGCCACGTCCCACTGGCAGATCGTTAGTAGATTCATTTGAACCCATACGTGGTTTTAGCACGAATGTTGATGGCAAACCCCATTTACTGTCTTCACCTTCGAACACAAATTTATATCAAACTGAAATTTTGACAAGCACTCCTGCAAATTACCTTCAACCTCCAACCATACCTACCGCTGTCACAAAAACTCTTTCTGCTGGCACAACACGTTTAAAGCAAGTACATCCCTTTCTAGAGAATACAACTGTAGCAATGTTCTCTAAAGATCCCCACTACAGTGGTTCCTATTCGAATGTAGCACACGCGAGTCCACCAAAATCTATTGACCCGCAAGCCTATCAGAGCGCCGAAAATCTGCCAATGGCTGATGCCTTACGCTTACTTTTGCGTCCCTACTTCAATCGAAGTGGCACGATTTCGGAGGATAGCGCTGAAAAGGCTGAGTCGCATATAATGAAGCTTACAGCGGAACAGCCATCTGAGCATTCTGTTATGAATACATTACCTCATACAACTACCAACAAATCCAAAGTTGGTGCCGAAAATGAAAAGGAGGTTGAACTTATACTTGCAGGTGAACAGCATAGTTTGATCACAAACCCAACTGAAAACAGCGTACACGGGTCACGTACAGATATCTATTCGAAAAATACAAAGCAAGAATCTAAAAATAATCCTAATTGGCATAATCGCGGTCATAATCGGGAATTCCACCGTACACATCCAAATTTATTAAATCCCTTTGATGAGGTTGATCAGTCAAGTCCTCATAATGTGCATCCTCATCGCCACAACCACAATCACAATAGAGCATTCCATGAGCGGCATCCTGAAATGCCAAATCCGTTCGCAACACCCGTTACGCTGCGTACTGTGCCTACAACTACGAATAATTTTGATTTGACGGATGCAAATCCACCAAATCCATATGCGGAGTCAACCACCCCTTTTAGTGTTCGACCTGAGATAGATTTGAGAGCAGGCCAGGATGTGGATTGCCAGTTTGATTGTGGAAATGGAAAATGTGTGAAGTCCTTTGAGGTGAGTATGTCGATACTAAGTTGCTACTATTTTCTTAAATTATTTTATGTTTCAGGTATGCAACGGCATTAACAATTGTGGTAATCGTAAGGATGAAGATAATTGTAAACATTTGGGCTATGAGGTGCGTTTAGCTGGTGGCGAAAGTGCAAACATGGGACGTGTTGAGGTTAAAAGTGAGTATTTTAATGCCATCACGTACATTTGGGATATAGTTACTTGCAAAATGACTGATTAAAACATCGAGCGTATTTCCTAAATGAACTGAATAGAGTTGATAATAACTGACGCCAAAGAGCTTATAAGGCTGGGCATTTGGGAGGTCTTTAAAATTTAAAAGGTTAAAATGTTTTAGAAAATTATTCGCCGGAAAGCTTGACTAGAACTATTTTCAGACATTTTAACAAATATAAAAAAAAACATAAAAAGTGTTTGTATATTTCAAGGAGACATATTTGTTTTTTATTTTCTTTGGACTTTTATGTTCTTTGTATAAAGATTTTGTCTGAGAATACGCCTAGTCAATTTTTCTCCGACGAATAATTTTCTAGAATATGTCAGACTTCTAGCGATCTCCCAAATGCCATTTTATTTAGACTTTCCTAAAAAGGCGACGAAACGATCCTTTCGAAGGCTTGAAAGACTGTGAGGGTATCGTTGATTCCTTCTTTCTTAGAGGGTACATCATTGGAATCCATCTTACCCATAATTATTAAAGTTGTAAAGAAGCTTTTTGCGAACAAATACTACTTATTTGGTGTCTTCCTCGATATCGAGGACCTTTTAATAGTGTGTTATCCGAGGCAATAGTAAAAGGCTTGACTAGGCTCGTCGTCGACAACAAGCTTCTCTTCTGCATTATCTACATTGGCCAGCGCCTCTGTCCATTGTAGGGTGAGTTCTATCGCCCTTTGTATGGATCGTTGGATGATCTGATTCAGGGATACATAAACTTAGTCATAAATTGGTTGACAGACGGAACTCGGTATATTCACCAAGAGGTGTTAGGACTCTCTGACTGGGTCAAGTATTTGCGCGTTATCCTAGATAGGAACTGCCCTAAAAGCCAAGTTTTGAGGAGCGAGTAAAAAGCATCAGTTTCCCAAGCTCTGCCTCTCTCTAAAGCTATTACTGCTGGTACGAAACCATAATCAAGCAAAAGCATTCAAAGGTCCGGAGACTTGTTGAAATCAGTGCGGCTGCCGCAGTTCGTTCATGCATCAGGCTAAGAACCACTGGCTTCTCCTTTAGAGTTATATGGTAGACTCATTTTCGTTGTTGGTGTTTCCGACAGGGTAGGAGTGTGATGTAATGTGGAACGATTTTCCGTCATCCCTTGTCAAATTTGGTTTGGAGACAAACCGGTTTTGGCGTTGTGCCATCTTCAGTGTCATTTTTCGTTCTTCGTTACATTATATGGTAGAGTTGGAAGAAGTGCATACTGTCAGGAACTCTCCGTTAGCAAGTTTAGGCTACCAGATTTCTGCAGCGAATATCATATGTTGACTGCCACTATAAAAGAGGCAGTGGACCTGAAAGGTACCATGATAAATATCTACTCTCACAGCCCAGCTGGGCTCTATGATCGCTAATTTTACGATCGCCTCTCTCTCGCTCTCTCTATTTCCTTCGATTACTTTCACACCCCAAGACACAGTATGTTCTGTGTGCAAGAAACTGCACACTACACTGGAAAAGTGTAAGGATTTCATGCGGTAACCTGTCCCGAAATTACTGTATGCAAGTATTCTTTACTTTTAAGTATTTTAGTAATTCTATATCTACAGAATATTTACCTATTTTATTCTTGATACACTATGCAGTCCTCGGAAAATGGGGCTATGTATGCGATGACAAATTTGGGCTGCGTGATGCTGAAGTGGTTTGTCGTGAGCTGGGCTTTAAACTGGGAGCCAGCGAAGTGCGCGGCTATTCATATTATCCACCCACTGAGACGGAAGTATCGTTCGTCATGGATGAAGTGGATTGCCGAGGTGATGAATCTTCGTTGAGGGAATGCAATTTTAAAGGTTGGGGCGTCAGCAATTGCGGACCAGACGAAGTAGTTGGCGTGGTTTGCAAAGTACCACAACTCAAATGTCCCAACAACTATTGGCTATGCAGCACGTCACAAGAATGCATACCACCTGCCTTCGTTTGTGATCATACACCAGATTGTGCCGATAAGTCGGATGAGAGCGATAATGTTTGCAATGTGAGTGTTGTGTGTGAGCTGGTTGTGGTTAAGCATTAACGAAAATATTACTGCTTATAATTTTTTGTATATTTAGTCACCCGTCGAGTATCGCCTGCAAGGTGGCCGCAGTGCGAGTGAAGGACGTCTCGAAGTTAGATACCGTGGTGAGTGGGGAACTGTATGCGACGATGATTTCGGCTTGAAAGAGGCTCAAGTTATATGTAATTCTATGGGTTTTTACGGATTACCGGTGAGTAAATTTAATTAGCAAATATACATCGATTTGTAAATAAAAATAACAATCCATATTACAGACCATTGCAAAGAATGTATACGGACCGGGCAGTGGCCCCATTTGGTTGGATCAGGTGTCCTGCTTTGGCAATGAAACTTCATTGGAGCAGTGCAATCACTGGACTTGGGGCGAACATAATTGCAATCACACCGAGGATGTTGGTCTCAAATGCACTGTGGGAGTTCAACCACAGAAAGTGAGCACACCGCAAGCAGATAGGAACCATGCAGACGGCAACGACCGAAAAGAGTTAGATGATCCGCAACAAGAATTAGAAGATATTGGTCTATTCTCCGAATGGGAGCGCAAAAGCAAGGCGATTGGCACGCAAAGGCGTCGATGCGGTCAATTCAAAGACGATCTGCTTGACGAATATGCCCACCCAGAAGAGAGAGTTGTAAATGGCAGCCTGGCGAAACGTGGTCATCATCCTTGGCAAGCAACAATACGCACACGCGGCAGGGGTGGCATATCGAGCCATTGGTGTGGCGCTGTGCTGATTTCTTCGCGTCATCTTCTCACCGCAGCGCATTGTCTCGCTGGTTATCCGAAGGGTGCTTATCTGGTACGGTTGGGTGATCATTATGCCAATATAGCTGAGGCTTCTGAAATAGATTCGTTCATTGAAAATTGGTATGTGCACGAAAAATTCCGTGACGCAACGCATATGAATAACGATATTGCGATGATTGTGCTGAAAACACCGGTCAAATTTAATGATTATATACAACCGGTGTGCTTGCCGAGTAAGGGTGCCACTGTAACAGAGAATCGCAAGTGCACAATTTCCGGCTGGGGCTCTATTAAGTCCGGTGTTTCAAGTATGTTTACCTTCTTTATTGCTACAAAAAACTGCAGTGAATATAAGTGATTAATATTTAAAATTTCAATCTCTATTAGCTCCTTCAAATATCTTACGCGCCGCTGAATTGCCTATACTGTCCGATGATGTTTGTAAGCAGCCTCATGTTTATGGCGCCAGCTTAACTGAGGGCATGTTCTGTGCCGGTTATATGGACGAGAGCGTGGATGCTTGTGATGGCGACTCTGGTGGGCCGCTGATTTGTCATGACGAGGGTATGCATACATAAATCCTTTGTTATATATTCTGTCTAAATATTTCGAAAAAACTAAGCTTTACGTAAGCTACACATGTTTGAAAATACCTATACAAATTTAGTTTTTGGGAATAAAATTAGTTTTAAAAATATATATATTTTTTAAATCCCCTAAGATGTTAAACGAATTTTAGCTTAAAAAGTTTGCATACAAATGTTTAAAAATTTTATCAGCGGCATCAAAATAATGAAATTTTTGGACATAATTTCAAATCGATCTAGCTCACGCAAATCTTACTCCAAAATATGACGAATTCTTAAAATATAATAAATTTTATAATCCCGGTGCCAATGCTTCATTTTTTTGGTGATGCACCCCAATTTGCACACATACATTATTTAGTGAAAAAATAGTGTAATAATTTAAAATTACATTTTTTTTTTTTACTTTTAGATGGTGAAACACTGTATGGCATAATTTCATGGGGACAACACTGCGGCTACGCAAATAAACCGGGCGTATATGTGCGCGTTGAAAAATACGTGGATTGGATAATGGACAAAATTAATTTTTCCATACAAAATGCTACATAATTAAGAATGAACGTTGAACTCGAAATGGAAATTTAATATTTTTATAAACAATTTTTTAATGTACATAGATACATAGTGGTTTAAGTAGTGCTAGAATTTGTATCAGACGTAGATAAAATAAAGGGAAATCTAACAAAGGTGTATGGTCCATTATTTGAATGGCATCGTTACATTTACAATAGAGGCATTCTTTTTCATATCGGACACCAAATTTGGTGACGCACTTTCAGTTTGCTAAAAAATATATCGAAGAGATATTCTGCCAAAATCTGCAATAAAATCTGCGTTTTGCTAACTTTAATCCATTTCTAGGGGTTTGTCGCCTTAAAGAAAAATCGTGCCGTACAAATATTATTTCAGGACAGGTATTCTATCGGAATCCATAATAAAACTAAAATTTTTGCAAAAACCTGATTTTTAACACCTTGCTAAATGTATCTCAACATACATAAGTTTTCGAAAACAAATTACAAAAAATTGCTGATTCTCACAAAAAATGAACCATCTCGTCATAAAGAAAAAAAAATATTTTAAATATAGTTCTTGAAAAACACCAATTTTTTGAACCATGTTTTTGTAAAGAGACAAGGATTACGATGGCGTAATTTTTAATCCCTAATTTACTGGTCTTCACTATGCAAATCAACTTCAAAAAGTTAAACTGTTAATAGCTAAGTTGGCTTTGGGACAATCATGACCATCTTATGCATAGAAATGTCAAGCCCATTTCTTTAGCTTTAAAACGACGTTAAGATGAGCAGAACCCGAGATATAACGATTTGAAGAAGTACATGATTAGTCTGAATCACGAAAAAATCCAAGCTTTGACAGATCACATCTCCAAAGAAAAAATTTCCTCGAATACGTGTTAGCTTATTTCATGTATAGAACCCATAACAAAAATTTTAAGCGAATCGGAGATATGATATAACTTTTTTTACGAAATCCGTCAGACTTAAAAAAGAATGTCATACACGGTTAAAAATTTCGGTTTTAATTTTAAACTTTTTGGACTACATATATGACCAAACTAAATTTAGTTTCAAATACAAACCTTCCAAGTTTAAAAAAAAGGGAGTACATATGTTGGGTATAGAATTTAAACAGTTCCGAAACAACCCGGAAAGCGTGTGGAACAAACCTTTTGACTTAATGTGGTGGAATGAGTGTTAAATTCATTCGCGACAGCTCTGGGTTCCACAATTTCCGTATTATCCTTGCAAAATTGTATTTACTAATGGGTCAATTATCGATAGCAACCGAACTTCTTAGATGGCAACTGCAACTTTACAGATGGCAACTGCTATGCTAGTGCTATGCTTATTTTCACACAGGGACCGAGCAAAACAGTTATTGATGAAAACTGTTATTGAAAAATTCACTACTTATACATACCAATCGATTTCTTTTTTCACCGAGAATCAAATTTGAAAATAAATTTTTATTTGCAATGCAATTTGCAAAATAAAAAAATTAAAATTACTTTTGATTTTTATTTTATAAATCCAAAATAACAATTATTTTTGTTTTTTATCTAAATAATCTGCAAATAGCAGTTATTTTTGTTTTTTCATATTATATGTCTTAGATAACAGTTATCGAAGACTTTTACTTTTAAAAGTCATCAATAAAAATCAGTCAGTCACTTTAGCTTTTAATAGTCATTAATATACATAAATCAGTCACCGACTTTTATTTTTTAAGTCATACGTATAAAAGTCATGTATCATTTTCCGCAGTTAAGCGGGTGTTGGAAAACAAAAGTTTACTACGACTTATACAAATGACTTTTACAAGTATGATTTAAAAACCAAAAGTCAGTGACTGATTAAATTGACGACTTTGAAAAGTAAAAGTCACTGCCTGATTTTTATTTATGACTTTTATAAATAAAAGTCTTCGATAACTGTTTTCTAAGACATATAATTTAAAAATCAAAAATAACTGTTATTTGCAGATTATTTAGATAAAAATCAAAAATAATTGTTATATTGGATTTATAAAATTAAAATCAGAAATAACTGTTATTTGAGGAGTAATTAAATAAAAGTCAAAAAATAACTGTTCAAGAGCGATTTTTTTTAATAAAAGTCCCTGTTCTCACAGCGCTAAATACTTAGTCTAAAAGTATTTAGTTAGTTTCACCTAACGAAACGCACGTAAGAAGTTCTTTGAGACTTTGGCTGCAATAAATACTGGATAAAAAAGTACTTAGTATTTATTTATGGCTTCACTATATACTGGATACAAAACCACTTAGTACTTATGACTTGGTTAAATACTGGCTATTTATTCAGTGCAAAAAAAATAATTTCGGAATCTTCGGGACAATTTCAGTATTTTTGAGCCTGCTTTGGGATCCTGAAAGAGATCGCAGCGAGCATCTCAAAGTGGATTGTTGTTAAAGGCAGGGCTGTAAACTACTCCAAGCTTTGTACGCTTGACGCACGTGTCTTTAAAACTATTTTTTTATTAGAAACTTCTGCGATTTCCATTATTTCAGAAGAAGACGCAATTTCCAAAAATGTTCAACATCTTGCTTAGTGAGATAAGAGGCGATGCGTGCACCAAGAAGGCAGTGCCGCATCAAATGTTTTGACAAAAGGCTGCCGAGACCAAGTGTTCAGCGGTATGCATTACCAATCTGTGGCCCAGGGTTCGATTTCTAGTGCCAGCAACATCGAAGTTGTTTCTAATAGCGCTCGACCCTCGGCAAGCAATGGCAACTACTGTATTGGGTATACAACTTTTCGCCTTTCTCAGCGTGCATGATTCATACAAGCATTTAACAAACTGGACCATTCGAGTAGATCACATACGGTCAACGCCACTTATAGCGGTATAAAGGGCAAACATCAGCCCCCTTAGGCGAACCCGCAAAATTAATTGACAATTTCAATTCTGTGGAGGCGGGTAGTAAATTTCTCTCTACGCTCACCATTTGAAGCTCTTCCAATTTATATTGGTATGCAATTTTTACAATACTTCGACCCACTCATCATAACATCTACACAATTCTGATGCCATACACGCCACAACATGCTGTATGTTCGTATATATGTAAATATGTATGTATGTCGGCACTTATGCGCTGATGAACGTTTGTAAATGCATATACATATGTACATACGTATGTATGAACAGCAATTTCTGCGCTTAAATTAGTCCGTGCTTTCCAGATGCGAGAGCATATGCTCGTCGCTAGTGTTATTGGAATAATAGTAGCAGCTCCCAACCATCCTCTTTATTAATGTCAATAGCTAGTAACATCAAGAAGAATAAACATTGCAACAACAACTACTATACAAATACTGTACAACAACAGCAAAATAACAAAATCAAATGTTAAGCGACGCTACTGGAGAAAATATCGCTTATCGCTCCTGATCTGCTTAAGTGATGAGCCGCCCTCAGCAGTTTGAAACTGTGCTGTGAGCTTAAACGTTGTTGTGTGCGCTGTAGCGTTTGACTTTCGGAAAATTCATAAAATAATACGTTAATCAAGTGTTTTAATTAAATTTCGTATTAACATAAAAAAAAAAATTATTTATATAAAATGCAGCCGAAATTTTTGATTTGTTTTCTTTTATTCTTGAATTATGGAATTTTTTGCTGTTTTGCCTTAAATCAGTATCAAAGCTATGAAGAGGGGATTTCAAGTACGGATCGAAATATTTATACGAACTCATTGCTGTGTATGGACATAAAGCCTCAACACTCTGTGGATATTGAACAAGTGCGGTTTTTTACATTATAGTTATTGATTTCTTTATAATATGTATTGAGGGCTTCTATTAAAAAACAAACACTATATGTAATTTCCACCAAAATGAGTCTTTAATATAGTGTCCGATATAATAATAACAAACTTTGTGCAAAAATTGAAAAAAAAAATCAACAAAATTACATCAAAATTTAACACTTTTTATACAGAATTTCAAACTTTTGTTCAGAATTTTTAAAAAAATTTTGTGTATGCAGTTGTATGGCCCATTAAACTGTAGTGGAAATTTTTAGAAAAGCATATTGATTTTTAATATTTTTTTTCTGAAATTGTCGTGCATACTTTATATGGAAGAAAATGCACAACACCGTCCGCTAAAAAATTGTTAAAAATCTACACGATTTTCTAGCGTCTGTAAATTTGCATTCAAATTTGATGGAGTAAGAAACTGGATTCCTAAAATATTTCTAAAAAATTTTGAAAAGAAAGTTTGAAATTTTCGGGTGTAATTGCTAAAGTTTGTTGAATTTTTATAATTTTTGTACAAAGTTTGAAATGTGGATTTATATGGTTTTGGATATATAATATACTAAGCTTGAAACAAAATATTAACATTAAATAAATAAAAGGAAAATGGCCAAAACTGTGTATGCTCGACGGGCTTTCTATATGGAGGAAATGCACAACACTGTCAAATTTCCACTTGTTGATTGGCCTATAAACTGCATACCAACAACTTTCTAAAACTTCTGAATAATAAATTTTGATGAAACTTCTAAAAATTTTCCAAAAAAAATCTATATAAAAAATTTCCAATTTTGATGCATTTTTTGATGTTTGTACAAAGCTTGAAACTTGGATTTAAATCGTTTCTGTTGTAAAATGCACTATATTTTTATAAAAAAAGTTATTATAATTAAATAATAAAAAATTAATAGGCAAAAGTTGTCAATATATGTATAGGTACGGTGACCATATTAACCAACGTAAAATAAAGGAATTTTTTTTAAAATGATTTGGGAATACGTACATACAACTTGTAGGATAAAAGTACCTTACCCATATCGTAATTTAAATTAAATATTTACCAGTTAATTATATTATTTAATTGTACAAGTTTCCCTGCTGTAGCGAAAAATTAAGCCAAATCTTTTCGAGAACTTCGCCATCCTTTGCTACCAAAATGCGTTTATCATAATTCATACTGCACGACGAAGCTAACCCACAGTGGTTCAAAATTGGAATTTAATGTTCATAATTCACCGGAGTCTTTATTTTGCAAGCAATCTTTTACTGAAAACCAAAAAAATAAAATATTTATTTTGATGACCATTTTTTTATAACATTTCAAAAATTTTTTTGTGTAATTTTTTTTGGGAGAATCATACAATTGTTTTCAACTAAACAGTTTTTGTTGTATGACATTTATCAACTGGAACAGGAGAATACATTTTCTTCAAAATTGCTATTTTTCTGCATTTTGTACAAAAAAATTTAATATAATCAAATAAAAATTCAGAAATCAGGCTCACCTGGTCTCTGGCAAATATTGTAAGCTTTCATAAAAAAATAAAAATTAATCAAATTAAGTAAAAAATGAAGGCTCCAGTGAATTACGAACACTAAATGCCAGCTTTGAACCACTGTGCAGCAGGGGGTTTATCTTCTTTCAGTGAAACTGGAAACTCGACGTGCAACACGATCCTGGGCACAACTTTCCCTGTGCTTTATAGATTGTACAAAGATTACCGATTAAGTGGGGTTCGAAACAAACTGGCGAAGGCTTTTATTATAGATATTCTATAAGGGACATTTTTATTTTTCATATTCTGTGTTTAAAAATTTACCTCTGAAAAATGCAGAGCTGATTTAAAGGACAGTTTAAGGAAAAAAGGACAAAAGGCGTCCTTTATTTTGAAAACAATTGTAAAGGACAGTTGGTTTAAATAAAGGACTGTCCTTTAAAATAAAGGACGGGTGATCACTATGTATAGATGTATTTAGTTATGATAAGTATTATTTCTTCAGATAAGATATCGAGAGATATGTATTCATGGACTGGATTTGACAAAAGTCAAGATCCTAAGGCCAGGCTATACTTTTCTAATGGGTTGTCCGAAACCAAATTTGATCCATCACCTCAGATTCTCAATATATTCAAATGAAACCTTACAAAAAACTATCCGCCATAAAATTTCATTATCAAGATTTTTTTTTATAGAAAACTCGCTGTGACATTTGAAAAGATTATCTTGTGTCGGAGATATTTGGGTGGTTCACAAGATATCGTAAGTGGAGCAAGTCGTAAAGTGTTTAACGGTTTAATAAATATTTAGAGTATTTGAAACCACAACGAACTATTTTTTAACAGTGTAAAAATTCTTAAGATGACTTTTATGTTTCCTTGCGAATCGCTTAAATATATCTTTAAGACTTCAAAAAATTAGTCTCCTCCCTTTCACTGCTATTTTTCATGCTTGCCTTGAAAAAGTGTTCCACCAGCTCCTTGGCCTACTTCTCCGCCTCACTTTCACCTTCTCGTCAATTGAACACCTTTTTCCACCCATGTGCACCTTCGCGGGTGTGAACAGATGGTAATCTGAAGCCACTAGGTCAGGGGAATGCGGAGTCTTGTGAGGTCTGGCATTGTCGTACAGCGGGCAAACTGTCTTTGTCAGCAATGTTGTTACTCCATACTTGTTCAGTGTTTTTCTTTTCCGTTTATGGAGTATGATTTTTTGGTTAAAAAAACTTATACATTATAATAATACGTTATAATACACTTGTGCACAAGTGTGCTTGGGTATAAAAAATCAACATGTGAATACTTCTTTGAGTCACTGTATGCGCAAGTAAAATAATAATAATGGGCAACTCCAACATTTCCATAGGAGCGTATGCTCGGCTCATTTTAAAAGGACGACAAATAAGTTCTTACGTTTATACTAAGCAAGTCGTCTAGGGCTATTATATTCACCTATGTATATGTATACATACTATATAATTTATTCGAGCTTGCAGGTTGAAAAAAAAAACAAATCGAATAATCTTTTTTTATTAGAAAAATTGTAGTCAGAACAGATGATTAAAATGATACGATGATTCATTTAGTTAATATAGAAAAACAATCGATTCTTTCTTACTCCTTGTCTGTTCTCGAATGCGAATCTTTTTTTTCACCATTTGACGGGCATAAAAAATATTTCACATTAAATGTCAATCAATCAACAAATAATCATTGATGCAATAATAAAAGGTTTACGAAATAATAAATAATAATAAGGGAAATTTCACACTCACTTACATAGCGTACATTTAAGAAAAATGAAGAAAGGGAAGAATTATGTTACTTCTCTTAAAAGGGTAGAAGAAAAGCACGCAAAGCTAGCAAATTCTAAATTTCGCCAGATGGTGAGTCCCCCCCCCCACTCAGTCTAATGTCCATTAGTATGTGAGTACATAGTATGTACACATTTAAATGCATACTCCACATACCGAATCTTTTCTGGTGCCCTAAAGTTGACTCTTTTAGAAAGTCAACAAAAGGTTACGTAAATTTAATAATATAATTAACGAAGAGTCCATTTAACGGCCATCAACATGACAAGCATGAAGATTGTTTTCGTTTATGAGTATGTATTCGCATGTTGTGGATGCAAATGTAGGTACATAGTAAGTACGTACATTAGGCATATGACTTTTTCTAAAATTAAATATACCTTTGAGGCGAGCATGAGGAATAATGCAAAACCAACAAAAATTACGTTTTTGTGAAAATTTGGTATAAAAGGTTGCCGCAGGGAACTCCAAGAAAAAACATACAATACATAAAAATGGACACTTCCATCATGTCGAACGTGACCAACGTACACATTCAAACTGAAAATACCGTAATCTTAAACGATTTTATTTATTTTACCAATAGGCTTAAATTATAACGCTTAATTATTTAGTCCTAGTACGCCAAATTCGAACCAAATCGGACCATAAATACGGGTTTTCAAAATATCTCGACCATGGCGCCACCTAGCGAGATAATTTTTCATAGAAACGATTCGGTTAACATGGAATTTTACATATAATTATACATATGACCCCTTTGCACGAGATTATCGTGTATGACTGAAACCAAATTTTATAGGATAGCGTTTTTCTACTTTTAATATTTTATTTAAATTATTTTATTAATTTTTATTTTTAATAGATATCCAAGCTCTAACCGCCATAAAGATGTAAGCGACATATTTTCAAAAAATTTCTTTTTGATGCATGTACTATGAATGTAGATGCATTTCTGCAAAAAAAATTAAATTTTGAAAAAATACCGCTTATATATTTTTGGCGGTTAGGGCTTGATATTGATATGTACAAATTACTTTTGTATGGCACATACGATTATTTCGCCCACAAGAAAAAATGAAATTTTAGAAACGAAAAAAAATCATATGCCTAATGTACACAAATATGTATGTAAGTTCGCATAAATGCGTGCTTGTATTGAATGTAGTTAAAGATTTATAAGTATGTATATAGAATAACTTTTATTGCGTCACAATCAAGATATTACTAGATCTCACTTGAATATTTTCGTATTCTTTTACAGATCACTGGATTATGGTATGGTAACGAGATCATTATTCATACACAGGATATTCCAGGTGTATACCAGTATGATAGTTGCGTAATAATTCATTTGAATGACATAACAGAACAAGTAAGTATAACTTTTGTATGAATTTATTCTTATGTGTGATATGTCTGCACAATTACCAAAATAAGCTCAATAGAAGTGACTATTGAGCGGTGTACAATTAGAAAATGGTTTAATATTTTTTTTGTTTATACTCTCCTTTGGCAAGGATAGCCATTGTTGATCGTTAAGATTCCGTTTACTCTGTTTCAATATCCTATCACCTCTACTAATAGGGCCAATGATCATTACTGTATATTTGTAGGTACCTTCTTTGATATTCGTTATCCGTCTAGAATAGGCAGTGCAATTTAAGTATGGAATTTGTTCGAAAATTCGTTTCGATGCCGTCACGTTTTATCGCCACATAGAAAGATATTATGGGATACTTGGCTGTAGAATGTGATTTTTATTCATCAAAAGATTTTCGATTGCCTATCGAAATAAAAGAACCAGTTGGCAATAGTTATTTTTCGCAAGTGCTCCGATTTGGAAGATTTTTTGGGTAGTGGCCAGGAGCAATTTCATCTTGTCTTCGTCGATCCCTAGACATACATACAAATATAACCTAGGCGACAAATGAAAGTGTACACCGTGCCCTAATATATTTATTTATGGAAGTATAGTTCATTCTATAATATAAACCATATAATTCAAATTTTTACACTAACTATAAAGTTCGCAAAAATTCAAAAAATTTCATCAAAATTTTTAACTTTTTATTCAGAATTTCTAGAAAATTTTTAGTATGAAATTTTGTAGCCCATTCAATTGTAGTCTAATGAAGTGCAAGTTTCAACCGGCTACAAAATCGCGTTGATTTTTTGGGAATTTTTTTTTTGGAGACTGCTTTTGTGTTTTTTTTTTTAACAAGTGCAATTTAGCGCTGATTTTTTGAAAATATGTTGCTAACAGTCTACCGCATTTTATTTCATAAGAAATTCGCGTATATGGAAAAAAGTGGAAAACCCCATCTAAAAAAAATGAATAAAAAGTTGAAAATTTGAATGAAATTTTTTTGAATTTTTGTGAACTTTATATTAAGTGTGAAACTTTGAACCATATAAAGTTTTACCAGTTTCCACCGGAAGTGGGTTCAACCGACGGATGTCAATTGTTTTAACCGGGGTCCATTCTAGAAAAAAGTTTCCGACAGAAGTTATGTATTTTTATGAGCAGAATCCGAATCTGTGGTAAAAACGTACATACATACCATTTAAAAAAATTGACTTCGGGTCGGTTTAACCCACTTCCGGTAGAAACCGGTTGGTGATCTATCCAACTTCTTGATACCGAATATTTACATACACTTGCATACTATATAAAACTACATATTTTCCAGATGCGAAATTACTATAATAATCACCAATACACCAGTCAACGGCGAACACAAACCAACCAGCCACCTTCCCAACATCATCAACAACAACAACAACCTCAGAGCCAGCGCCCATACAATGACCATACAGCAACACGATACTTACGACTGATATGGAGTGAAAGTGATAATAATCTGGAATACATGTTTAATTATACGGAAAGAAGTCCCGGCCTATGGACAAATGTAGGCGAGCAACGAGGGTCATTAGAGGCGCTAAATTCATATAAACAATTCAAAGGCACCGTACAGGTGGTAAAGGCGGTTAACGATCATTTGGTGCTGACATTTTGCGGTAATGAAATGAGCGGCTCCATTTACACACTCGTGCTAAGCAGAACGGAAAAAGGGCTGAGTTTAGAGGTTTGTACGATTTGGTAATTTATTTTTTTTTTAATGTAATGAAGTTAAAATTTTCCCAACTCCTTACAGGAATTGCGTAGCATCCGAGGTTTGCTATCCAGACGTGGCTTATATACGGAAACGATTCGAAAGGTGTGCAGCTCTGCGGCTACAAGTTTGGGAGTTATGAGTAGCTATTTATTGGCGCTGATGGGATTTTTCGCCATTGCTAAATATTATTTTTGAAAACAAATTATTAATTTAAGATTTGGTGTTAGTTCAAGTTTGAAATTTATTCTAATTTTATGTGCCTAATTTTATGCTTTAATTATGTAGATAGTGTTTGTGCAACATACTGATTGGAAAATAGCCAGCGGAAAAAATTCATTAAATTTTGTGTACAAGAATAATACATACATACGAGTGTGTATGCACATTAGGGTGGCCCAAAAGTCCACAGAAAAATCAACTTTTAGAAATTTTCTTGCTGTCAGCCCCCAGAATTATAGAAAATGGGAAACAAGGAGACCGGATATTATTATTTTGCAATCGGTTAATATTTAAGCTTTGAAATGTTCTATATATTTTATATTGGATAAATAAATTTCTTTGCGGAATTGTCATAAAATCGTTAAAAAATAAATATTTTTGATCGAAACAAAATATTTCCCTTCAGAAGTATTCCATTACTTTAAAATGTTACTAGCTATTAATTCATAACGTGCCTAATGTGCATACGAACACATAAAAGAACTAATTTCTGTAAATGCATAAGAGATGAGATTATCGGTTATGAAAAAGTACTTAGCAAAAATTTTTAATTTAAATATACGTCCGAATTTTATTTCTGAAGTGAAAAACTTTTATTCCAGCAAAAAACATTTATTTTTAGCAGTTCTATGAAAAAAATTTATGTTCTTAATATAAGATACATACATATATGGAAAGCTTCGAAACCCGACGGCACGGTTAAACGTCAACTGATTTCAAAATAAAAAATACTGGTCTCCTTATTTTCGATATTAATTAGTTCGGGAGCTGACATTATTTTTTTTTTATCATCCTAATGTGCATAAATATGTTAATTTTTGTACATATATTAGTATAGATAGTATATACATATATGTTTAACAATAACAACAATATTTTTTTTGAAATTGCGTCCAATTAAATTCAATTCAATTAAATTAGTCAAACTCCAGTGTCAGAGTGAGAAACGATGCCAAAGCTATCTTCATTTGTTCATTCACATTCATAGGTACATACATATATTCATACATATGTATAGTTATAGTATATATGTATGTACCCAGAGATATTGCACACACGAAATACTTCCATATTTACGAGTAGGCGTATAATGCGTCTAATTAAATTATTTGTGCAGCTAATTAAGTTAAGATTACAAAAAACAAAAAAAAAATGTCTCGCAGAAATTTCGTCTAAGATTGGATAAACGTTTCCAGCCTATTAAGGAAAATAAAATATTATTTCCTTTTACGTAACAGAAACTCTCAAACAGAAAAGTTTGAATGAAACTTAATTGTGGTTCTAGACTGTGTGACGTCTAACGGTTGCGAAATGGAGGAAAAACATACATACATATATGAATAAGCGCTTCATTTCTTCCATAAAATAACGTTAGGTTAAGTTAGGCTAAATTGGTTGGTATTAAAACATAAAGAGGTTTATAATCTATATATATAATACGAGAAGGGATTTTTTGTTCAGCATAAAAGATCTGTACCGTTCGCCCGATTTTCAAAAATTAGATGTTAATTTAAAGCGCCACATCTTAAAAATTTAATTCAAATTATTTAATAATCAAGGCCATCAAATCCTCACTGTTCGTTCGATTTTCCAAAACGTGCCGTCAAACTAAAAGCCTTGGACTGAAAATGTGCAACAAGGTTTTACCTTTTTTGAAAAGATTTGCCACCTCTTAAAAATTATATCCAAATTATTTTACAAAATAAATCAATTATTACGAACTGGGTATCAATCGAAATGGTTTTTAAAAGCTTTGTTTATTAGCTGAACTATAGGGGGGTTTACCACCTGTTAAAAAAATCATATTAGGTAAGAGAAATATGTGTCACCATATGGGTGACACACGAAAGGGATTTCAGAAAGTAGTAGTTTGAAAATATTTTTAAAAGGGTTGCCACCTGTTTGAAATGTAGCATTTAGTTTACTTATTCAGAAGTTATACGTAATATCAAAATATGGATGTCAAACGAAAGAAACTTAAAAAATATTTAGTTTGAACGCTAAGAATATTTTCGAGGTGTTGGGAGAGGGTTGCCACCTGTTTAAAAAGTTAAATTCAAATTATTTTATAAGTTAAATGAACTATTAAAATATGGGTATGAATTGAAGTGGGTCTGAAATTTCTTTATTTCTAAACTGTATTTAGAGGGGTTGCCACATGTTTGAAAATTAAAATTCCACTTAATTCATCAGTTAATTAAAAGATATATCGCAGTTTCAGGTGAAGGAGAGTTAACAATAATTAAACCTGAAAATAATTTTTGAAGAGGGCTGCCACCTGTTTCAAAAAGTATATGAAATACAAAAATACCGTAGTCAAACGAAAGAATGTTAAGAAATCTTGAGTTTGAACATTTCGAATGTTTGAAGAGAGTTGCCACGTGTTTAAAAAGTTACACTCAAATTATTCAGTAAGGTACATGAATTATTAAAAGATGGGTATAAATCGAAATGGGTTTGAAAGGGATTTATTCCTGATCTTTATTTAGGAGGGTTGCCATTCGTTCGAACATGTTTATCACAATGTCAGATGAAAGAGATTTAAGAAGATTTTGTTTTGAGAATACATTTGAAAAGGAATTTCAAATATGAGCGGTCAAATTAGAGGCCTTAGCATGTAGATATATGAAAAAGTTTTATTTTTTTAACTAAGAACTTTTTTCAACGGTATGGGGCGATTTGAAATTCGATGAAAATAAAAATATGCACTTTGCGAGACTGCTCTTCACTCAGAAACGGCTGCACTGTTTTGATGAAATATGGCACTCGGATCCCTTATAACTCTGACTAACATTTGGAATATTTTTTAAGTTTTTGAAATAAAATTTTGGGCGTATAAACGCCATGCGTGTTCACTAATAATAATAATAATACTATGACGTTTACAATTTTGCTAAGTGTTTGGCTGATCGGAGGAGAAACTTTTTCTAAATTAGATGCTTCAGAGTGTTGGTAGTACGAACCTCTAACTACTCACCCACACGACACTACTACTCACGACATCCGATTGGCTGATCGGCTTGTATGTATGTATATTATAAAAAGTTTCTTTGAAAACAGCCCCGCAAAAATTTGAAGACCAGGTGGTCCACTGGGTCGTGGTCTTTAAGTATGTGCAAATGGGCCAGGCATCATACTAGTAACTTGTTATGCTGACCTGGACCACTTTAATTCAGTGTTTAACCTAGTCCCACTTTTTGCAGGAAGAGTTCTAGAATACCCATGCACTGATGCCGGTAAGAATAAAAGCAGTAAGACGAGGCGTACTAGTATGCTTAAACTTTCCCTTACCAGAACTGAAATCACTGCCCTGCAAAAATTTGAGGACCAGGTGGTCCACTGAGTCGTGGTTTTAATGTATGTGCAAAAGGACCAGGCTTCATAATAGTAACTTGTTATGCTGACCTGGACCTCTTTAAACGTAAAAAACTGATATATGTGTTGAACACCACCTCTTCGTGGCCCATCGGCAATATGATTCGGTTGCCGAATGTGCCGTGGTCCAAAAGGAGTAGTTGTATAGGTGGTCCCATGTTATGCAGAGTTGGACCAGAGATGGTCAGGTCCAATGACATCGCAATGTTAATGTAACCACGTTTTCTCCATATATTTAGACCATTTTGGTTACTAGTGTTGGTTACAAGGCTTCGTGGTCCTGTACCAGTGTTTAACCTAGTCCCACTTTTTGCAGGGTGGTTTCACTGACGACATTGTGCTGGTTGCAGTGGCAAAATACTTGACGGATATTAAGTCAGAAGCATAGACGGCAATATCGATGATCATGGACATGAACAAAGTAGGCTTATATATAACGCCTGAAAAAAACGGCAGCGAATTTTATTAGCAGCCGTAAGAAGACTCCTTCAATTTGGTAGATAGACAGTTTTGGACCGCATGCGGAATATGTAATACACAAGAAAGGTCAAAGATACATGGGACCTTTCTCGAATGCTGCCTAACAGCGGCGGACCTCGAAGCGGAAAGCGTGTTATCCTGGAAAGAGTATTAGCATTGGTGCTTTTGTACGCAACTTCAGCCTGGGAAAAATCCATTTAGATCAGATAGTATCGTCGACTAGTATATGAGGCACTCATCGCAGACGTAACTCCTATCGATCTGTTATTTGACTGCCAAAAGGGGCAACAACGTGGAGAAAATTCCTATAAAGGAAAGTCGACGTTCCGACTGATGACAAGCGTAGAAAAGTGACTAAATAAAGAAGTAAACTTCTACTTATGGCAGTTTCTAACAGGCCACGCTGCTACCGAAAATTTCTACACCACTTCGGCTTTAATGTGACGGAAGACGCGGAACACGCAATGCTTGGTAGCGCAGTAAATACAGCCACAAATATACCAGCAGCTAAGACGAGCAGAAGCTACCCGAATAAGCAGTGCAAGGTGGTAACAGTTGTAGCCGAACGTGACTACCTTAAGCTCACCGCAGTATTGGGGATTGGTACTTTAATGCTAAAAGGTTTGACTTTCGATGCTTCCTCGAACAAAAAAAATCGAAAAAAAAACATGTGGTAATGTTAGGGACCAGATGGAGACCGAACCTTATGAGTTGAAGTACACATAACGTAAAGTACAGCTCCACACTTAACGTTTTACTCGTTGTGGATTTCAGCGCTCATGTCGACATACAAAACTTACAGCTTATTAGAACACTGAAAGCCGGAAAAGCGCAGAAAACCAGAGAAATTGTATGATGGGTTTTACTTTTAGGGTGTTTACGCTTCATGTATATGCTTTCCAACTCCTCGAATTGAGAGGTCGCAATAATCACAATTGTGTTTTGACAGTGCAAGACATAAACATGGAAGACGCTCCGTTTTGCAAGAGTTTTAACACGAAGTGAGTACCTATACTTTGCCACAATATTTTTTCACATGATTTTCAGTTTCCAGGTGGCTGTCCCGTTCCATCTAAGTAACGTTAGGTTGAAGCAGGTACCTGTTTCCAATGGGCTCGTTGTGATAACAATTGAGAGTCGATCGCAGTATTCATAGACCGGAGTGGTTGTTGTTGCTGTAACAGCATGTGAGTTCCCCAAAGAGTTTTTGGGGTTACCGGGAGTCGTGGTAGGTGGTGACCGACTCCCTATGAGTGTCGTTGATCACTCGTCGGTGCATCTTCAGGTCCAGTGATTGGTCGATATACGTCTAGGCCGCGTTCATAGATTCAAAGAGTTATCCTCTAACGCCTGTGGCATTATACCTACCTTCATATTTTTGTATCATGGCTACAAGTAAGCTATGAATAACTAAAGTTCTTGAAAAAATACGAATACAAATGCATTGGCAAAGCAAAATGTGAATCATTAAATTTTAGTGTAATCACGTTGTTATTCGAGAAATAAGAAAACAAGTGTAACGAAACCTTCGCCCCGCTCTCATCTAGATCCGCCACTGATAGTGCATACATATGTATATGTATGTAAGTATACATTGGATTTTTTACTTTTTTCCTTGGATCCAGGAATCCATGTGTCAGAGTAATATATACACACATTTATAGTATAAATATATGGGCTTGGATTAAGTACTTACAACGTATCGCCTTTCATTGACCTACAATCCAAATCACACCATACACAAATGTACAGGTTTAAAGAAACAGTCGGCCGCGCGCAATAAGAATAGTGTTATCGCTGCATAGTACTTACCCCGACTAATGGAGTACCCACACTTGTAGTGATATATGTACAAACATGCGTTAAAAATAAATAAAGAGATTTGATTGTTAAATTTTAATAATTTACTATTTCGCTAATTAACTTATTAAACTAATACTATGTACACATCCATATAAAAAAATATTAACCTAAAAATCATGGTTTTCGCCAACCACTTCAGTGATCACAGTGCATCCTTAATCTTCGCCCTATAGTTCTCATTGTAATACTGCAAGCGTATTTTCGAGGGCAGATCCTGTGTCTTTTCGAATTCGCAATTTTTGTGTATTTTCACCATTCGGCCATTAGGTCCAGCGGATGTGCGCCAATAAACTGTCTGCATGGCATTTCTGCCGGCGATATAGCGTGTGGTAGCACCAACCAGTGGATGAAGATTCTTCGCGGACATTTTACAAATATTGTGTATTATTTTGACTTTGTATTGTAATTTAATTAAGTAGTTCTCACAAAACTATAAGTTTGTTTAGTAAGGGGCAAAATTGTATGCACGACTTATTGCTACTTTCAATGTTCACTTCTTTCTGTTAGCTACTAAGAAGCAACGATCATTTTTATACTCTGTACACTTAAGCGCCAAAGTCTCTATCGTTGGTTTGTTTTAGTGATTGGAAGTTAGTCTCAGCTGATAGGTTGGCGCTTATCAGTTTTAAGTATGTTTATATGTATGTATGTATGCACGTATGTTGTATTATTCCCTTTTTATAGTATAAAAAAATTAGTTGTTGTAATTTAAGCGCACTTTAGTCGGTATTTTCTGGTTAGGATTCTAAAGTTTTGTTAGCTAGAACTTATGGCATACATACTACATATATACATATGTACGTACGGATATGTTTTTATGCATGCAGTTGGTTCCTCCTAGGGTGTAATGGTAATATAGATGTCCAACAATAAGAAGAGTAGGCTGACAGGTTTATGCTTAATCTAGCCTCACCGTTGTGTTGAATGAGACTTTTTCATACATATGTAACCGCATTATTTGAACCATGACAAAACCGTTAAACGATTTTTTAGAATCGGAATTCTTCAAAGTGCTTTAAAAAATCCCCATAAGTAAAATAAGAATAACCTCTAAATTTCACGTAAAAATCTGAAGCAAATTTTGAAAAGTTTCGACGAAAACCGAAAATCTCGAAGCGGTTCATTATTAGATTGCCAATCCTCAAAATAAAACAGCAAAAATTACCAATTGCTGGATGCATAAGGAATAAACCATCTTGCTGTTTGTTATTTAGACTATCGTCAGCTAGAATGATTTTTATTTTTTAAGTTTTATTTAAAAAAAAGTCTAGTTCAATACTTTTTTAAATTTTAATTTTTGCTCGGAAAATATCCGTTGTCTTTTGATAAGTAATAACAATAGATTGGCGCTTGCACATACATTAGTGTTTGGCCGAGCTTCTCATCCCATTTGTAGCGTGCACCTTGATGTTGTCACACAAAGGGAAGGGACGTACAGTTTTACGCCGACTGCAAACGGCGATTGTATTTTTATGAGAAGCGGTTGTTCATTGCAGAAATACACTCAGAGGTTTGCCATTGCCAGGCGAGAGACGACCGCTACTAAAAAAAAAAAACTTTTTGGTTTTATTTTTTGATGTTCGGTTAAACCGGGCTTAAACCCAGGCCCTACGTAGCGAATAGACAGGGGACGGTTGCGTTGAAGGTCTAACGTTGCTGTTCCAGGAGAATGAGAAGATAGATATAGAAAGATATAAGGACTATATCAAAGACCGAATTAAAAACAATGACACGGAATGCACCTAGATGAAGCTTAAGATAAAGATAACGATGAATATAAAGATAAGGTTCAAGATGACTATGAAGATAAAGATGACGATGAAGGTGAGAATGAGAATGAAGTTGAAGATAAATATTACGATGAAGTGGAAGTTGATGATGAAAATGACAATGATAAAGGTGAAGTTAAAGTTGAAGATGGGGACAAAGATGAAGATTATGATTAACCTTGAGAATATTTACTTTTAACCTTTAATAATATTTATTTGATGATTTATAGCTCGACACCGCTCCTTAAGGAAACACCAAAAGCTTTCTATGTAAAAAATAAAAAATAAATAGTTAAAAAATAGTGATAATAAATAAAACAAAGTAAAAACCATTAAAAGGTTTTTTTTTTGTAATAAAAGCTATAACCGATACGGTCCCTGAGATATCTAAAAAGTGGTTTAGTATAGCACCCTTAAATACTCAAGTACTTAAGCTCCTACCTTAAACTTAAGTACAAGAGAATATTTAAATATGCCGTCACTGGTCAATTTTATTCCATTTTATGGAAAGAGGTTCGAAAACTTTGAATACCTCAAATTTCTAGATCTGAAACTAAATTGTCACTTTTTTTTTCTTTGAAATATCTTTAGGGCACTTTTTTCTGATTATCTACAAAAAGAGCACGAAAAGTTATGATTGCTGCATGGACCGCAGGACCCAAATTTTTCAGCATCAACATGCATATTCCGGCGGGACCCATGGCTTTGGAGGCTTTCGCCTCCCCGATGGCCAGCTGAACTTCACCGCAAGTGAAAGCAAGGGGGCACAAGTTGTTGGCAGTTTGTGCAGCCTTCTGGTCACTCGACGCTTGGCTTTGTCCACCGGAGGATGCAGTATGAACTAAAGGCTAAAATAGCTTGCGCATCGCTTCGGGTCCGACGAAGCATGGTCGCCGAAAGAAATTTCGACTCTGTCGTCGTGCTTCGTCGGATTGGACAGTGACCTCACGGTTGACCAAAGCTTACTCACACCAAGGGTGAAGTTACAAGTCTTTAGGTGCTCTTCCCACTTCTTCCGCTTATGTATGTTCACTAGTTGCCGAATCTCCGCGTTGAGATCCCTGATACGGGGATTTCCGGGATCGACCTGAAGAAGGCTGTCACGCTTATCGGCTAGCAGCATAGGTCGCCATGATACGCTGTTTATCAGACCAGCGCTGACTATTGTTATGTCTGGCGAGCTGCAGCTGCTATCCATAATCCTGGTGGGTGCGCCGTCGTTCATTGTGCAGAATGTCGAATCGTCTATTTGCTCAGCCAAGTCTGTTCCCCTACGATCGTTTGACAGGCTTGAGTGCCAAAGATCGTGGTGCACCTTAAAGTCACCTACTACCATACGGTTTTCACCTCTGAGCAGCGCACCTATATCAGGGTGATATCCTGCCGGGCAGCAAGTGACAGGGGGTATGTACACTAGACTGGGTCGAAAAAAAAAGTTGCTAATGTCCGCCCCTAAATTTAAAGATTATGTTGAGAGGGTTCTGGAAAAATTTTTTTTTTTTTTTTTAACCCTCCGAAATACAGCCGAAATGGTTTTTTCGTTG